GGGTAATTTCAATCCTGGGGAGGTTGCACTACAAAAAGTCTGACATCCTGGTGCGTCCTCTTTAGGCATTGTTCACAGTCTGCGACCCTGACGAAACGGCGGTTGGGAGAAAAGCAAAAAATAGTCATCGATCGGAGAATCGCCAACCGCTAGTTTCGCCGAACCGCCGCGGTTCGGCGGTTGGGCGAAAAGCAATAAATGCGTATCGATTTCGCTGGCGAAAAACGCCAGGGCGATCGAGCTAGCGTTTCGTCGAAGGCGAAAAACGTCGCGGTTTGGCGAAACGCCCGTCGATTCGTATCAAAACCCTTTCGCCCAACCGCCAGTCGATACGTATCGAAAGCTTTTCGCCGAACCGCTGCGTTCCAGAGAAACGCTGGGCCGCAGACTGTGAACAATGCCTTACTTAAGGTACGGTAATCTCTCCAAGTACTTAGTGTGAAAGAATTCAGTGGTCCAAATTGTACGCATGAAAATTACTCGGGTAAAAAGAGGGCGCTAGCGTGGTTCACCAACCGTGACACCTCCTCTGCGGCCATTCCTTTAATTGAAGCTTAGGCTAGCGAAGACTAGGTCTCCCCTGCGCGACTATCTCTCAGCAGCTCTGGTCCTTTATGCTTTAAGCCTAAGCCTTTTTAGGGAAGGAATACAGAGGCTCGGCTGAGCGTCCCCCCACCAACTGAAACGAGAACGGACAATTTCGATGCCCAAGGTTCCTCAGCAAATTTCAGCACTCATGCTACACAGTTAAAGTTGCGCTTTGGACGGTGTCTCTCTATTAGAAGGGGTACAACTACGAGTGATATGGGTGCTAACGTAGTGGTGGTGGGGAACTTTTGCAGCATTGATGTGAATAAACGAACGAGACCCGACGAAGATAGGACAAGACTGAAGTTGAGTAAGCGCGCTCTAATGTCGTTACCAGAAACAAGTTCGCGTCCTTTAATGAACTTGGTTTTTCGCAGGATGGTGATGTTCTTCAGACAGTGTTTCGTCCGGTTTCGCCCTCTTAATACCTGAAAATTTCAGCTTAAAAGTTTTCGAATTTCCTCTTTGAAGGCTCATTTCCTGTGTAGCTGTGCTCTCCCTCGGTCTAATAAAAGGCAGTTCTGTTTTCGTAACATTGCTTTAAGTTTGTGTACATCGCTTTAAGTTTGTGTGTAGTATGTCATTTCCTTGATGTTTTAAAGGTAAAGCCATTGAGTTTTTCTGTCCAGAAATGCCGTTCGCGTTTTCTTGATAGGCAATAGTTGCACAGCAGGTTTCCATATCATAGTATCATGTTTTCTGGCGCTAAACCAATTTGGTGGGGCATTTTGGTGCAACTGTTCATCGGACTACGGTAATACTAAGTTACACTAGAAGTTCTTTGAATCTGTGAAGTGTTACGGACTTCGTTTTTACGCAGTTTCTTCAATTTTTTTTGAGCGGGATTTATCGTTAATGCTGCAAGGTGCCAAGAAGCTATAGTGAGCCAGTGAAAGGTGAATTCTTGCCAAAGTCAAGTGGAGGGGAAGGAGCGCACCGGGTTGGATAAAGTAGTTAAGTGCTCACCCGTATTTTACGCTCAGTAGAGCAGATTTTTCTAAATATTTCTAAATCGGAAAGAAAGTAGAACGATCCTCCCCATTTTTTCCTTCAGTACGACTCCCCCTCCTTTCCCATCTCCCATGCTGCCTACCATATTCTTAAACCCCAAAATTTTCTGTCTTCTTACATTTTAAGCTTAGTTTTGCGAAA